GAACTCAAGACCAAGACGGAGAAGCTCGCCGGTCTTCTCCGTCAGGCCGCCCGTGCCAGCAACGATCTTTACGAGCGACCGACGCGCAGAATTATAGATGACACCGAACAGGTCCTCGAAAAGGCCCTCGCTCTTGTCATCAAGTGCCGCGCGAACAGCATCGTGAAGCGAGTCTTCACAATCATCCCTGCTACAGCGTTTAGAAAAACGGTGTTGCAGCTCGAGAATTCGATAGGGGACGTGTCGTGGCTCCTGCGGGTATCGGCCTCCTCTGATAATCGGGACGATGAGTACCTGGGTCTTCCTCCAATTGCGGCGAACGAACCCATATTATGTCTTATATGGGAACAGGTTGCGATTCTTAATGCGGGTTCGATGGAGGAACGATCGGATGCTGCGTCGTCTCTGGTTTCTCTGGCTCGCGACAATGACCGCTACGGTAAGCTGATAATTGAGGAAGGTGGGGTTCCTCCTTTGTTGAAATTGGCTAAAGAAGGAAAAATGGAGGGTCAGGAAAACTCGGCGAGAGCCATTGGATTGCTGGGGAGAGACCCAGAAAGTGTGGAACAGATTGTGAACGCAGGTGTTTGCTCAGTGTTTGCGAAAATCCTCAAAGAAGGTCACATGAAGGTACAGGCTATGGTGGCTTGGGCAGTATCCGAATTGGCCGCGCACCACCCCAAATGTCAGGACCATTTTATGAACAACAACGTAATCCGATTTCTCGTCAGCCATCTCGCTTTCGAGACCGTCCAAGAACACAGTAAATATACAATTGCAAGCAAGCAATCGGTTTCTTCCATCCATTCTGCTCTTGTAGCTAGCAATGCTCCGCGGCAGAACACCAAAAATGATCATCATGACGACCAGCACGGTCAAATTGCTCACCCACCAGGGCACCAACCTCCTAGCCATATGCACAATGTTGTTACTAATACAGTGGGTGTCAGAAGCCATACTCCTGGAAGTTCGACTTCGAAGCAAGCGCAGTCAACACAATCACAAAACCATGCTAACCATTCCCAGAGCAATCACCAGAATTCGAAGCAGCATCACCACGGTCATCATCCACATGCTTCACTATCTGGGACAAGCATTAAAGGGAGGGAATTTGAAGATCCTGCTACTAAGGCACACATGAAGGCAATGGCAGCAAGAGCGCTATGGCAACTTTGCAAAGGGAATCTCAGTATATGTTGCAGCATAACGGAGTCAAGAGCACTCTTGTCCTTTGCAGTTTTGTTAGAGAAGGGCCCAGATGAAGTCCAGTCGTATTCAGCCATGGCATTGATGGAAATCACAGCTATATCAGAGCAGCATACTGAGTTGAGGCGCTCTGCTTTCAAACCTACTTCCCCGGCTGCCAAAGCTGTGGTGGATCAATTGCTCAAAATAATAGAAAAGGCTGACTCAGACCTCCTGATTCCCTGCATCAAATCTATTGGGAACTTAGCCAGGACTTTCCGGGCAACTGAAACTAGGATAATTGGACCATTGGTGAAACTACTTGACGAAAGGGAGGCAGAGGTTACCATAGAGGCCGCAATTGCACTAAACAAGTTTGCCTGCCCTGAAAATTTCCTCAATGTTAATCACTCAAAAGCCATTATCAATGCGGGTGGCGCAAAGCACTTGATTCAGCTGGTTTACTTCGGCGAGCAAATGGTCCAGCGCCCTTCTTTGACCCTCCTATGTTACATTACACAAAATGTTCCAGACAGTGAGACTCTTGCACAGGAAGACGTGCTTATTGTCCTCGAATGGTCATCAAAGCAAGCCCATCTGATGGAAGATCACACAATCGAATCTGTATTAGCTGAAGCCAAAAGTAGATTGGAGCTCTATCAGTCAAGGAGCACAAGGGGATTCCATTAACCCCATCTTCATCCTATACCAGATTGTCTTTTGTCAGTCTCTTAAATTTTGTAATTAAGTTACCTTAATGTTAGATTTAAATCTTAGATATGATATTATTGTAATTAAGATAGATTCAGGATTTCTCAGTTAGTAAATTATCTAAACCTTTATTTAAAGGCATCTTATATAATAATTTCATATCTTCAATATTATCAGTGTATAAAATGCCTTACTTTCTTTTAGTTTTCCCTTCTCTCTTTTTCATGCTTTGATTTCTTCTATACTTAATTCCGAATGAACTGTAAATAAATTAGCATTTGCTTTCATTTATGTTCTGGTACTTATCATCTTTACAATCTCTAGTTGGAACCTGTTTATATATCTTCCTTGTTTCATCTCCATTAATTTTGGCTGTTTCATGAACGATTCAGACACTTCAAGTGCAAACAACTTCTTACCCACAACTGAGATTAGCAGTAATTCTAGCTATCCTCTACTGACCCTTTAGTAGTTAGTACTGTACACATAGATAATTGGACCAAATAATAACAATAATGTTACTTCAAACATGGTACAATGATTAACTCTGCCTCAATAGGACACTGACATGGAAATCATGTCTGCTCACTTATCTGAATCAGACTTTTCATTTTTAACTGATTTTGGAACATGTCCTTTTCGTCTGCCAAGCACCTACTAACAGTCACAAAACCATTGAATTGTCGAACTCCATTCATTCAATTTTTGAGCATGCAAATTCATAAGCTAAAAGATGAAAAGAATGAGACATTAGACTATCATTAATATCTGAACTTAAAACCAAATACAGGAACAAAGGCTTACTTTCTCAACAAGTCTCCTACCGGATTTAAATTCAAATGGCGTATATAAACAAACTTTAGCTTCTTCTTTTTTAGTTGTATAATGAAAAATAATTTTTTTTTATATTTTTTAATCAATTTTACCTACATGCTATACAACTCGAACTCAAAATTTTTTACATTTATTGAAAGAAAATTGCTATTAAATTACTTACTTTTACTAAACAAGTTTGAATTTGAATTTTACCACAACACTGACTTTCAAACTTGGTGTTTTCTTTTAGCGTAAATCTAAAAGACCCAAAACAATGCCTTTATTACCTAGCAAGACTTGTGACAATGTAACAATCTTGCTTGCATAGCCAAAAACCGAATGAAAAAGATTGGTCAGAGATGGTTGGATTGGACTCTGTGATTTTTCTTTCCCCGAAGATTCGTAGCAGACAAATTTGAAGCATTGTGCCATTGAGATCAGTATATCTTGTTGAATACAAATTTGGAATTTTATTCGAGTAAGGTAAATTCTTGGGCTGAAAATATGAAAAAATTATTGCCATGTAGTTTCAACTATCTTTAAAAAAAAAAAAAATTAAGTTGTATAATAAAAGATAATTTTCTTATATCCTTTAATTTATACTATCATAAAAGATAATTTTCTTATATCCTTTAATTTATACTATCTACGTATTATACAACTTAAATTTAAGATGTGAAAAAAATATATAGATAAAAATATGAAGTTTACTATTTTTTCTATTTAATATTACGAACTTTGTTAAATTTTAAATAAAGTAGTAAATTTTCAATTTTTTTATTTAAATATATCTTTTTTTTTTGTTTACAAATGTCATGTTTACTTTTTTTTATAAAAAAATTTAAGTGTTAATTGAATAGTGATGGTGACATGATAAATGATTTTTTTGCAATCTAATTAATTCTTAAACTGAAAAAATAAATTTTAAATAGAATAAGTTGAACATTATTATCTTAATTAAAAACTAATAAAATTCAAATCTTTAAATAAAAAATGATAAAATTTGTATACTTATTTGTATTATTTTTATACAAAAAAATTATTATTAAATTATTTAAATAGTTGATTTCTCCCAGTTATCTTATTGTTAAGGTAATGGATGATATCAGCATTAAATAAATTTTGGGAAGTTTACTTCTCCTCACGTTTTTATCTTTTCAAAGGGTGGCTCGTGACAAGTTTGTGAAGCATAAATCCAGGCCCAATTTTGATGGGCTAAAAATTGAAGATGGTAGGTCCAAGGGTCTCTGACTAGTTGGCAAGCGCAAGTTTTTTGGTTGTTGGATTATTATTATTTTTTTTCTTTTTTTCTTTTTCTTTTAAAGAAAAGAGAAAATCATGATACTTAATAATAATTATATGATGAATTTAATAAAATTATGACTCATACCATGCTCTACACATTTAATTATTATAATTGGATATTTGAATATTTTTAATACCAAGAAATCTTGATTTTTTTTTTTAAAGTTAATTAAGTGGATGTGGTTTTTTGGGTTTGGGTATATTTTTACATGACCAACGGGCTGAATATAATAAAAGTAAAAAACGTCTAAAATGACATTAAAAAAAAGAATTTAATGATAAAAGTATAAAAGAAAATTAAAGTACTAAAATGAATTTAATTAAAATATTTCGAAGACTTCATATGTGCATAAACTAAACCAAAACGCTAATAAACAAAAAAAAAAGAAAAAAGAAAAAGAAGAGAGCATGTTACGGCAAAAAGACAAAGTAAACATTGCGTGAATTATTTTCATTTTTCTAATTGTAGTGAACTGTCACTTTCTCGGTATTACAATTATCGTATGAGGCATGAATAATTTTTTATTTTAAATATAATTATTTGCATCTGATCTTTTTTTTTTTGAACCGTGTGCATTGTGTGGGTAGGAGTTCGAACCCAACTTAAAGGTTGAGAAGATGCACTTTTCAAAAAAACTTAAAGCCATCGAACCACTAAACCCGAATGCATTTGCAATTGACCCTTTAAGTTTATAACATTAATCATATTAAATAAATAAACCTCATTTTTTAGGCGGTTGGATCTCGTTACATATCAAATTATTCAAAAATATATATAACTATCTTTTTATTACATAATACTAAACGGGCAAAAAATTTCTCCCAATTAACTTCTTGGTGCTATATAATGAATTTTTTTACCACACCATCTATATCAGTGTTTGTAACAAGGTAAACTTACGCCTTTTCTCTTCAACCAGTATTTGTGTCTCTTCTTATCCAAAAAAAAAAAAGTATTTGTGTCTCTCATATAATAATGATTGAAAAGGACGACCTCCTTCCTCCCTTCTGTCTGCAAGGGCTGCCTACCCAATGTGTGTACTTTGACAGTTCCATGTCAAGTGTCAAGACATACCATTCTTTTTTTTTTTTTTTCCCCTCTTTATTTGCAGAGTCTTGTTAGAAGTACTACTAGTATTTCAGTACTGTTATTGATTAATTTCATTAAAAACATTTTTTTCTCCGTATTTATTTTATAAAATATTTTAGTTTTCAATTTATTTAAATTTCTATAATATAATAATATAAACAAGTAGCTTATATGCACTTAGCCCGTGTGGCCTAATGACTAGAGTCACTGAAAAGTACACATCCCCTTTCCCTGGGCGAGTTTCGAACCCGCCCTATGACAAAACTGTTAAAAAAAAAACCAAATAGCTTATATGAACCGATAATTCAAATTTAATGATTTGTATTTAAATTTTAATACTTAAATTTAATTAATTGAAAAAAATCCCCCTTTCTCCAAAATCCCCCTATATTAAAAAAAAAAAAAACAATAATAATAACTTATGTGGAATTGAACTTTCAATTCCAATGGTTTATTGTCAAATTTTAATACTTGATTTTAGTTAATTGAAAATTTAACTCCCATTGACAACTTAAAAATTCCTCAATTTTCTCATAATTCCCTATGTTAAAAACAAAAAAAAAGTTACTTATGTGCAATCTTCTAAGTAGCTGCCTAGTGACTTTTGTAAAATTAAGACCCATTTTTTATTTAATAATTTTTATTTATAATTTAAATTATAAAATAATTTTTCATACTTATATTACTAAGTAAATTACTTTTATTATAATTATAATATCATCAGCCATGTGACTGATTGAAGAGTTGTCTACCCTTTTATATACATGGATTCAAATTCCTCATCTCTACTCTATCTACCGGTAAAAAAATGGAGACCCTTCAATAAAAAAAGAAAAAATGGAGATCCTTTTCTGTTGGCAAGGACAAAGAAGAAAGAGCTATAGAATTGTCCCATCCCAATCCCACACCAAACACGCCCTCTGACTCTCACTGCAACCTTTTTGAAGTTTGACCAGTCTTCTTCTGATTTTATATACTCCTATTGTTATAATATTTTAACCAACAATGTACCAAATAAAAAAATATTTTAACCAACAAAAGACTTCTTTCAATTCGTACTCCTTAATTTTAATTGAAAAATAATTTTTTATTTTATTTTTTATAT